GAGAAAAAAGACATCAATAATACAGAAAATTAACAGGTGTCACATGCAGCAACTATTAATTTAAAGAAATGTATTATAGTTTAGTCATCAAACTGACCATTAGGAAATATATACTATTCAGTGTGCAGCATACATCTTCCAAACTTTAATTGTATATCTTCCACAAAACGGTATAAAATTTTAAACAAAACAATAATAATGTACAAATAGTAATCCTCAGATGCGTTCATCTATTGGTGAATTCGCATGCCATAGATTTAAAGTACAATTCTGAATTATATCTTTGTGAAACTAATATTGTTATATGTTTAAGGAAAACACCATGATTTTCCCATTATACGAGATACATTACTGTCAAAGCATCTGTATTGAACGCAGCGTCCGTGGCTTACGCATTGCGAGTCCTACTCGTAATCCTATGTACTGCGATCGAAACCCCCTGCTGACTGCCTGGACTTTTATCATAGTACGGGCGTCGCAGGTCGACCTAGTCTAAAATAGTTACAAGGATGTATGTTCTGGGAAAGTAAAGACGGCCGGCGTAATGTTAACCACATTATCCACCTAGTTCCGATTGGTCTGTAAAAATATGGGTGCTCTTTCAATGTGCCTAAGTCGTGAAAATAGATCTTTAGTTTTTTCCTTGTGAAGAGGTCGCGGCTCTCCGAGGAGTCGAGGCGCACAGTTTGGGAATCACTGTTATAGGAGTTTAACAGCTTGTTGCTACATTCACGTCATGATCAATACCTAACTATAAGCACATGTATTTAGACTTTGTCTTTACTGGTAATAACACTTTTTTTTGAAGAGGGGGGGGGGGGGGGTCTAAAGTATCAGTTATAATGGTCATAGCAGTTATTTTTCATACATTTAATCTCTCAATACAATGGGAGAAAAAGAAAAGTGAAATGTTAAAAATACAATAAAAACACAATGTGCGTTTTATATCAGTGCAGTGTGCGAACGGTAATAAGGCAAACAAATATATGCTTTCTTCAACAAGAGTGTACTATAGTAGAAACTACAAGAATACATGGTTATGCAGATAACATTGATGTTATTGGAGAAAACTAACCAGAGACTGTGAAACATTTACTCTCTTCAAAAAAGCAGCTCACAAAATGGGACTAATTATCAGTCAAGATGAAACAGAATATATGATATTAACAAGACAGAGGGAAAGAATTTAAACTCTAGCCATATGCAAGTCGATAATATCAAAATTTACAAACGGAACCAATAAAGTACTTGGGTGCAAACTTCATCTGCTCCAACATGCTGAGTGAAGCAATACAATCTAGAATACAATCTGGAAATAAAGTATACTATGCCCTTCAACATCTGCACAACAAAGTCTCTATCTCGCAACATAGAGAACAACATAGATACAACGTTGATAAGACCAATCGTTTCAATTGGCTCTGAAACAGTTGCCACTCTACGTCTCATAACTATCTCTGGTGCCCATTTGTAGAGCGGGTCGACCTGCGATCAAGGCAATACCCACGGGACCGGTGCTCAAAACTGGTACAGCGGCACACATTATATTGTGCTGCTCCCAACATTTTAAAACTAAGTGGCACTTGATTTGATACTGTCAGTTTTACAATCACTGTAGCTACTTCTAGGAAAATGCCCACATATAAATGTTTAGAAAGGCTGGCTTGTGAGCCTCTGGCAATTGAAATAAATAATTCTCTCGTCAGGAGAGATTGGAAAACCTGATATGAAAAACATGTTGCTATGGCTGATATTATGAATATGTACAATCTGAAGTTTCAAAGCTGCTGTGGCACAGTCGTGCCTATACATCCCCCAAGAAATAGATGTGCCTAAGTCGGCCAAGTGGAATGAATATGGTTCGTATCTCTCTTCAATCGTACTCAAGAACAAGGCCAGTGATGTAATCAATTACATAAGAGCTGGTTTATTCATAATATTCTCGTCACACACATTTCATAAATTCAATAAGCAATAGTATATGAACACTCCTTATTACTGGCTATTCGTATGCCTCTACGAGTTCCTTAACCACTGTTCTGGCTAAACTCCAAGTTTAACATATACCTTCTAAACGAAGTAAAGCACTAGTTTTCTCCTAACCGGTTTCTCTAGCGGTCTAGCCCTAACTGTCTTCTCATGGCGGTTCCGGGGCTAACTGTCCTCTCCAGCGGTTCCGGGACTAACTGTCCTCTCCAGCGGTTCCGGGACTAACTAACTTCTCAAGCCCCTGGCTCTGACTTTATTCCACCGCTTTCCCGCTCCTCCTGGCGTACCATCTTAATCACTCCCCTGTTACCTGTCCTTGGTGGTCACGTTTGAATGAACGTATCTCGTCAGCTGGTCACAGCTCACGGGCACTCGTCGAATGTTTCATCCCTCACTGTCAGATGTCATGGCGGTGTGTTCTGCATAGCTGGCTAGGCCATGGCTTTCTAATCACCCATTCTGTCATTTCACACAGTGATGGATTAGTACGCCGTGTGGTGGTCTGAAATGTATGCTTGCTCATTTAACCCCTTTCTGCCTATATTTCATTACACTGCCTCACCCCTCCCCCCCCCCTTTTTTTTTTAAAAGTCCTATTATTAGCTAGGTTGTGATTATTGCAGACTATCCTCACAGCATTCCGGACAAATCGACTGGAGCAAACCACGCACGTTTCTATGTTAATAAAATGAAATAACTTGCACCCACACATACATTTGTATATAGGTAAGCTCCAGGCTGTACGTCTATATCCACTAAGCTGGATAGGGTAATTTTATTTGCACTAGGTGAGACGGCTAAGAAGAATAGTTGGCATTAAGTGGCAGGACAAAATCACAAACACTGAGGTATTTGAAAGAGAAGGTACTACAATAGTCTTCTCAATGCTCAGTCTACGGAGGCTCAGGTGGCTGGGTCACAACTGGAGAATGGAGAATGGCAGAGTCCCTAAGGACATCCTTTTTGGTAAATTAAGGACGGGTAGAAGATGTCGAGGCCAACCTTTAGTACGGTCTAAAGATGTGTGCAAGCGGGACATGAATGATACAGGTATGGAGGTGGTCTCATAGAAACAAAATGCCATGGACCGTGTTGTGTGGAGAGGGCATATCAGGAGGGGAATGAGACTAAAGGAAGAAATGATTGCAGAAAAGATGAGAGCTGAACGTCTGAGAAGAAACTGATTAAACGCAAATGTTGACAACAACGGTCCTGAAATCCCGTGCTATCATTCTGGAAGATTTTTCTTGACACAGACGGGTCTTGCTAGTCATACTCGCCATCGTCATGTGCTGTGAGTCCCATGCCTCCTCATAACGCAACATAACACTGTCGTCTGGAAAGAACGGTAAGGTGCCAGTCGGGTAGGGTTATATAGTAATGCTTGTCGACGTAATCGTTTCTTTCGATAGGGCAGTCAATATAACCACATTATTTGTCAGACACTGTTCGCTGGGTACCTCAAGCATCCATCCATATAGCTCAGGATAAAGATAAAAGTTGACTCGCCTTCCTTGTTGCACTTAACGACGAGACAAACCATCTTTGTCCGATGAGGTCGGCCTACAACGTAATGCCTGGAATTTAGTTGAGAACCTTCTCGTAAGCTCTACCGCCGTGACTAGGCTCTAAGAAGTAGGGAGAACGCTGGAATTTACAGGAGAATTTGGTGACAAATTGCAAAAGTGGTGGGAAAAGAGTAGAAGGAAGGCAAAATAACGCATACCTAGATGGCTTCGCCACATTATCCGTGATGCTGATATTTTGTAAGATAGCAAATCGTTTTCGTCTGTGCTGATGGAAAGGAAACATGTTGATGATTAAGCTTTTTTCAAGGAAATACCCTGCTTTTTTTTTTTTTTTTTATGTAAATAAATAGCGTCCCGCCCACCTCATACGCCTAATTTAAAAAAAAAGGGGAAAACCCTGGATGCAGTGACCGTTCAGTAGCATGATCCGAAAACGTCCGAACAAAGCCAGCTTTTTACTTTCCCTCTTTATTTATTCGAGTGTGTTATCAGTGGACAGCATCTGTGACTTGAAGATTATGCAAGCAGTTTTATAATTTTTCACATACTTGGTTTGATCGATTTTGACACAGTATGTCGCTCTATGTTTATTCTGACAATGTTATGAATGTCGAAACCTTCAGGAAGCAGTAGCAAACTAGTAAGGGTAAATGCGTCTCGTAAAAAGCAAAACGGACACATTATGATGGTGTTGATTTGCAACGTCCTGTTGGGGATGTACAACTTTTCTTAGGTATCTTTCACACCTGCTATGATATGGATAACAACTATACCTGTGTGAATTCTTTTATTATGTCAAGATTGATTGTGTGAGGCTTTAAAACGTAGCATTGATATTTCATTAATCTTTTAAACATAACCGTGTTTGACAAATTAAATCAAATACACAAAAAAGTATACAATTTTACTGTAAATTCAGTGGAATTTAAAAAAAAAAAATTTTTTTCACTGCATAGAATACGCCGATTCTGACTTAAGTTAAAATAGTGGGTTGATATAATTAATGCATTCGACAGTCTATATATAGAATACATTTAGTTGTTCGAAAAAACACCAACATTACAGTACCCTAAATGTATACTTGATTTGACGTTCGATTGAACTTCAAGAACAATAAAATATATAAGACTATAATTCACTGATTATGTAAAAATACGTGCTATAGTTTTAAAGAATCTAAATTCGGAAGAATGAGAAATACACAGGACGATCGATATTCTGATGCTACGTTCAGACTGACTGGAAGAACCAAAAAGAACAAACAATTCACTACTCGCAGTGGGACTTAAAGAAAGATTTAATGCACAACATTTCTCAGTTCCACTTTCCTGAAGAGCGGAAACACGATTATGCGTGTACTTTCGTTCAACATGTATATTGAAACTACAAATAAAGACCTTTTCCCGTCTATTCTACTTTCATAAATTAGTTAGTTAGTTAGTTAGTTGGGTTATCATCATTGCATTCCGGACATGTCCATAGGTGCTCTACTTTCATAAAACGAATCAGAATGGTAACTGATTTGAGTAATGAAGCATGTGCTCTGTTCGAGTTAATAAATTATGTGTCTATTGCTGGTATTGTATGCACATTCGGCATACTGTCGAATATCATCAACTTGTTCGTTTTCTGGAAGCATGGTTTCACCAATTCTGTGACAATGGCATTTTTCAGTATCGCAATATCTGATTTACTTTGCGTGGCATCATTATTATGGGTATCAGTCTGTCTAAACCCACTGTTAACTTCGACAGGTATTCCTTGGGTCCCTTTAGAGGTGATGTATCTGTCAGGAGCCTGGCCTCATGCAATTTTTGCTAGAATTACATGTTTTAGTACTGTTTATGTAACAGTTGAGAGGTACGTCAGCATTGCATTACCATTGAAGGTGAAACGCATTCTAAGTCGAAAGAGAACTAGTGTGATTCTGTGTCTCATATACTGTGTTAATTTAGCAAGTATGTTACCAGAATATTGCACATCTTATCTTGGATGGAGGGTAGTGTCTGACAGAAACAAAACGCTCATTGGCATATTATTTACAAGTAGCAGATCCGATGTAGAGGGCGTGGCTTACATTCTTCACTCAACACTTGGAATGACGTCATTTATGGGTGTTGTAATTGTTACAGTTTTATTAGTAAGCAAATTACGACAAAGCTCTCAATGGCGTAAACAAGCAACATCAAACTACAGCACACACGAAGCGTCATCCGACAGAGAGAAGAAGACAGTAAAGATGGTAGTCCTAATTGCCAGCATTCTGATCGCATGCTACACACCTAGTGCAGTCACCGGTTTGGCAGCGTTTATAATTGGACCTGAGTTTAACATTAGAGGTGCATACACTAATATCTGTACAGCGATGTGGTCTATGGCTTTGACTATTGAATCCATAAACTCTAGTGTGAATATCTTTGTGTATTACTCAATGAGCTCAAAATATAGAGACACCGTCCATAAGGTTATCTTTCGAAAGACACAGCAGTGAAGTCTCAAAACTACATTTAAAAGTGTATGGGCCTTATTCACGTTGAGTTTGAAGTTATTTATTGTCCTGAATATTGTGTCATACTGTTTTTTTTTTTTTTATTGTTTTTTTTTTTTTTTCTTTGGCTAAGATCTAGGTCTACCAAATGGACCGAATCCATCACACCAAACACAAATGGAAGGAACCCAAACCGGTTTAACAAAAACAAAAACAAAACTACTTAACGTTGACCTGGTCGGTCTGACATCCATGACATCCTTTAGATAGTCAGAATGGCCGGCGGCTTCTGGAGACCGAACCCGTTTACACCCGATAAAACCAAGTGCATTATGATTTACAAGGGAAAACAGGGGAAAAAGGCGGGGGGGGGGGGGGGTTTCTTAGGTACAACTGACGTGATTTATACTGTTTACTTGATAGCTTGATTGGCTGACGTTTAAACCTATCAGGGCATCACACATGCGACAAACAACCGATTACAGAGCTCCCATTTTATCCTGCACGGTTATAATTAGGGCTCCCGACCACAACCAGGGTGGAGGCTTTAAAAAAAACAAACAATTACGTCCAGCATGTCTACGATAGCTTGTCAAGGAATAGCTTTAGTAAAACTGTACACAACTGTCTTTGCATTGTTTTACATATCATAATATTAGAAGAAAAGTCTGAAAAGGACATCGTACCTTTTGTAAATATATCAAAATACACTGCAGTATCATTATTGAAGCCTTTATATAATGATCTCATAAATAAAGTGCTAACTGGCTTATCCGACCAACCAGTTCAAAATTATTACAACCTTTTAAAAAACATTAATATGTTCCAGACTGAGGTATATATGGAAGGTGTAGAATATCAGATCTTAAAGCTACAAATGTGAAATACAGATTTGCACGTGGTTAATTATTATTGTCCAGGTGACCGCCTCCACACTTTAGACACAATCTCAAAAGAAGACAAGATGATTTTGTGCGATTTAAAATCCACTCTCAAAGCTGGGGGTACATTCACAAAAGCTAGCGAGGAGAGAAACTAGAGGAGTGGCAGGACGAGGACTTTATCCCTAATAAAAAGCCAACTGACCCTCCAACCTTCTACTCGAGATCGTGGTATATTACTGCGTCATCTGACCTAGCCTTTCACTGCCATTACATGAATTTGAAGATTTCACAAGTTATTGGAAAACAACTAGGAGGCAACGATCACCGACCGGTAATTCTAAGTGTAAAACATGAGACAGAAAGAGAAACTTACACTCTGTCAAGGTAGAGCTACAAAAAAAAAAAAAAAGGCAGACGTGCCACATACAAGCTGCGTACCAGCATACTGGTAGGACATCTCAGCATAGATCAGGATAATAACAATGTGGTTAAAAAAGTAAAGACATGAAAGCTAGAAGCAGCAACAGAATCAATACTAAGAGGTTCATGTTAGCATTATAACACTGACTGAATAATTTACATAAGAAAGAGAGCAGAGACCACGCTAAACCAAGGACATCCAAATAACTACCGGCATGCTGTTTGGAGATCCTCGAAAATCGATACTTTGATGAATAGTTTGAATCCCAACACTCCACCTCTACGTGAGAAACTAGACTAATCAGTGTCTTTTTTTTTAATCTTAACTGGTGTGGCCTGCAAAAGAATCATTAAAGGATAAATATATCCTGTAGATTCATCCTAGTACCAGTCAAAGTGCTGCATACCCAAGAAATTGTTCCCTTTGGCTTGCATAAATTAAACTAGCTAAACTTGTTACCAACTGGAAAAGTTATTGGGCTCTTGGTGAATTCTTCTTCTTCCCCCCCCCCCTTTTCGGCATGAAGCCCTAGACAGAGCTAAGTGTCACAGACTAAAAAGAGGAAGGTCTTGAATGGCGCTAGCTGAAGACAAAATTGGACATGTGTGTAGGCCTGATAACATTGGTCGAGGAGAGGAGTAGTTCAAAATATTCCAGCAAAAGTCAGACTTGTGTAGGGTCTGAAAACACTTCTGAACACACCGTGAGTGCAGGGACATGTCAGCCAGTGCTGAAGAATCAGAAGTTCGACAAATGATTAAAGACAGTTCCTGCCTAGGTGATATGATAATCTATACAGATGGCTCTGTGTGTTAGTTCCGGGTTTAAGCCCTGCTGAAGGCTGGGATTTTTTCACGTGGACTTCTAGTAATTTCTCTTAGTACTAAAATCGGAGAACCCTGTATATTGTTGCACACCTATAAAATCCCTTGGCAGTTTGAAATCGAAAAAGTAACCTAGCGGCGCTGCCCAGGCAAAAAATTTAGAGTTAAAAAACTACTTAATGTATTTCAGGATCCTCGCCAGTGTAACGAAGTTCGTGCAGTGCGCTGAAATTCTTCAGACTCAGGCTTGAGTTAGAAGTAGTGTCGTGGATTAAACAGCCAACCCTTCACGGTGGACGAGTCGTGACGCTGACTTCCCTAGCGGGCACGTCATATTTCAAACTTAAACCCGTCCGGAGAAGTATATAGTCCCTTATATTGTTATATACCTTTATCTGGTGAAATATTCATTTCTAGACCCTCAAGTTGATTCTTTATTTTCAAACTTGAAACTGTGGGCTAAAGATTTCTGGTGGTAATTCAGAAATTACTGTAAGCCTGTTTACTTCTTGGGCATGAATACAAGGACTTCTTTCCTAGAGACGCCAAGCGTAGTTTTGAGCGGCATTCCTCAGCCAGGTCTCCTAAGTTTCGAGACGTGTATACAATGAATAAAATTGGCGCATTCAAAGTATCAGTTCTCTCTTTGATGAATTCCTAAGCTTGTTTAAGTTGATTATAGTTTACGAGTACCATAATATATGTCTTTTTAAAGTTGGCCACTGCTGCAGAGAGGGAAGATTCAGCTGTGTGATCGCACAAAGTTTGGTCGTTCTTGATGTCCAGAGATCAGGCTCCGAACATTAAACCTTTCTCTGTGCAGACTAAATAGTTTGTGCTCTACATAACCCACACCATTTGTAAAGATATTAAACCCTACAAGTAATTATTCTCTGACCAGACAAACGAAGTTGTGTGCCTCCTAGCAGAAATATGGAATCTGGGTCATCTTTTAACAGTTAACTTCTGTGACGTCAGAGCTAGTCGCTCTGAGTCAAAGGTGTGTTTGGCACGGAAATAACGGGTGTGTAGTAGCAGCCTTCGGAGATGTGATATATATATATATAGGTACTAACGGGGTACATAGTGTGTCTGCGAGTATAGATGTGAGGGTGGGGAGAGGATGATCTACGTGAGGTAGTGTCTATGTATCTCCACTATATACCTAGTCTTCTATCTGGTGTACTAATTTACAGACAGATAAATGAAATGAGACATTGTCTCCTGTTCTTGAGAGTTACACTCTGAGGAATGGAGAAGAGTAGCAGAGTGTGGGGTGAGCTGGTGTGTGAATAATGATAATTACTTTCCTGACAGGATGATACCTCCTTAGAGATCAGGCAGACGAATCATAGTCCAGCCAACAACCACCAACCCATACCACTTGTTGCCACTACCTCAACATGGCAAGAGCTTGTTTGTGAGTTCCAGGACTAGTGGACAATTGCAGATACCTATGTCATCAATCCAGAGAATCAGTCTTCAAGAGCTTTGTTGGGCTCTTATGCAGTTCCGGTGTCCTCACCTGTGAGACAGTCAGCGGGCACCACAGTCTTCCAGAGCTTTGTTGGGTTCCTATGCAGTTCCTGTGTCCTCACCTGTGAGACAGTCAGCTTGTACCAGATCAAATCGAGGCATAGCTACCTATTGAGTCAACCACAGTCAAATAACCATGTACTGAGGGAAGCATTGACCTACGAACTGGGATAAGTGATCTCTAATTCATATACATGCTCTCTTCCCACAGCTCCTTGTGATTCCTTTGATGAACTCATGTAATGTTTAGGAACTACATCTGGCTGCCTCAATATCTGGGTTGTGTCATTGATTCATGAACTCCATTCACTGAACATTTTTGATGATCTATTCATTATATATATATATATATATATATATATATATATATATATATATATATATATATATATATATATATATATATATATATATATATATATATGTGTGTACTTATTACATGCAGAAATTTTCATGGCTGACTTGGGTGTCCCTGTTTCACCATTCTAACTGTCTAGCTTTTATGTTTGTGTGAGTAATAAGTGTTATCTGTGTTAACATGGCTATGATAGTATACTATCATAACCTGGAGGCTACCTGTTTATGGTAGTGGGGGTGTCCAGCCAAGTATGCCTAGGAATAATATATATTTTGTAGTGCCAAAGCTTGAATTGCCCTACTCCTGAAATAAGGTGAGCGTATATTGGCCACGGGATATCCCTTAGACCAATACGAGCCAACGACTCAACATTATTATTTCAGAGTGCTGTTGGTTCTTAAGGAGAAATCCTTAAATCAGGCACGTGATAGGAGCGGTATGTGACAAGTAGAACGGAGCACTTATGGTTTACACTCGTGTGCCATGATGTTGGTCGTTCGAATAAACATAACTGTGTGAGACAGCCGAAGCTCATGGGAGTTCTTAGCAAAAAAGAATGGACGTCACTTAGTGCACCAAAGCCTGGTAACTGACACCACAACATCTAGTTTGAGAATGGAGGTATAGGCAGACACTGCAGGTTTTCGCTGGCTTGGTAATCAATTGTACAAAAATGTCGTAACTGTAACCGACTCACATCGCATGTTCAGGAAGGTGGAAACTGGAATGCTCTTTGAAGAGCGGCACGCATTGCTTCAGAAGACCCAGATAGTTAGCGTCCTTTAGATATATTCCCAAGGAAATGCCGGTGTATTATGAAATAAACAGGCAGATAGACTGTCTGGTTCAGCACAAATTGGTTGTGAACTCATGCACGACAGGATAGACGTTGTAAGGACCCTATAGGGGCGAGTGAACAGTGCAGAAGCACAGATGGATCATCGTGGTCTGAAGAGAATGGTGTTGCGGGGAATGAATAG